GGAATCGTAAAATTGGAAATTTGGAAATCGTAAATGGATCGTAAATTAGAAACATTGAAATGGAATCGTAAAATATTTAGTATGGCGTGTGTTGCTTTTACGTCCAACATATGGCGCTGTTTTAAAAAAAGCATGTTTTTACCTGTCACAGGTGTGACATTTATATAATAGTAGGTATATAAAAACATGCGTGTATTCGATTGCAACGTTGTGTCAAAATTTCAAAGCAATCGGTGAAGAACTTTCGGAGATTTAAGATTTTGAACAAACGAACATTTACATTTTTATTTATGTAGATTAATAATGCCTTTCACTCTGACTAGTCAAAGTCTGAGCGATGTTGCCTGTTCACAGACATATCTTGGCTACAAATACTTTTGTACCACGTCTGATTTCTTGCTTGCTACAGACTTGTACATTTTACTAACATCTTGCCACATTTAGTGTAAATACATTTAGTAAATTCAAAACTGTAGTCAGCATTCCTTCTCCAATATAGAGTCAATTCAATGCACTGGCACCATGCACATTTGGTTAATACTATGCTCCAAAATAGTGCTGTGTGCAATGCTTGTGAACAACCAAGCTATACCAAGCCTTTTTATTAACTGTTGTTACTGTTAATTGTTTTAGACTTTACATTTTGGAAAATGATTATATATTTTTTTTAATTCAAAGAGAGAGATACCTAAACATAAGTCAGTACGCCTTCATTCTTAAGTTATATAAAGAGTTAAACATATGGATACAAAAAGTTTAGTATAAACATGATCGCTATACATTTTGCATTGTTTAATAGTATAAAGGAGTACTGTGAGTGTTTAAAATAACATAGAAAGTTATTGGTCCCTAAATATAAGTATCAATTTACAATCTAATTTCATTAATATCATTAACTTTTCATTCAACATGTGCTAAGACAAGTAACATTTTTATTATTACACATCGTTAACTTACATTACCTATGGGCATTATTATCAAATAAAATGTTATGAGGCCAGGCATTGCCTAGAGTTCAGTATACCTTGTCTGTGATTACAAGGGCTCAATGGTGTGCTATAAGAGTGATGGTCAAATCGTACTATTTGAATTGATGGTGGATACTACTGACTGGATGTCTTTCCTATTGTCTTGTAGTTAGAAATTAGGAATTATTGTTTGCAGATATCCCTTGTGTAGCTTTGTGCAAAAGTTCTAAGAAACAAAAAAATGATTTACTCTAAAATGAATTATTGAAATTTTCATGTTTATTTAAGCATACAAAAACATGTCCATTGATTTTAATGATTATACCTTTAAACTGTAATAGATTGAATCATTTTGTAACCTTGAACTGGCATTTGTTCTGATCTTTAATGTTTGTGAAATGTTTGAGCCAAAACAATGATATTTATCCATTAACATGACTCCTACATAACTTCTTATATTTTCGGATTTTCCTAAATCACCTCAGTTGTGTAAAGATATTTAAAAGTACACAATACTTTAAAAACTATTAAAGGCACAAGATGTTACTAAAAACATATACATATTATGGTGGGTCATAGAACTGTCATTAAAAAGGAAAACAAAATGGAAAAAAGTGATATTTATACCTTACTATTTTGCATAAAACACACTGACCAATCATTTAACATACATAGTACTGTTACCTGTTCTTTTTTAAAAAAGGAATCCCAGAAATGAATTTCTACAACATCTACAGTCGCATCTATATTTGAAATTGAATTCAAATTCTTGAAAATTTCAAGTGATTGTATTATATTTAGTTCATACTTATTATTAGTATATTTAATAAATTTGATATTATTCAATTTAATACTTTTAGAACAAGGACTGTTAGCTATATGTTCTGCTAAGGTTGCTTCCTTTATTTTTCTATAGCTAAGTTATGTTCTATAAGTCTAAATTTTTAATTTCTACATGTTTGGCCAATATAAATTTGACCACAGTTACAAGGAACTTTGTAAATGCCACACTTATCTATTAATGTGATTTTATCTTTAAGATCAGTCATAAAATGATTAATTTCAACTCAAGATGAAACATTACCTGATAGTTAATATATTTCTTTAGGCCTGTTACTAGTGTATTGGGAAATTGTTTGAACTTATGGCAAATAAACATTCTTACTATCAATTTTAATAACCTAAAGTTTAGTGCAATGTAAAATTTTTAATTTGTTATAAAACTTTTATAAACTCTTTCAATAATGTTGCTATTAAATCTGCTGTCAATGGAATATGTTTTAAAAAATTCAATTCTGATACTAAATCTTCTTTACATGAAGGAATATTTAAAGCTCTGTATACATATGTGGTAAAAAGTAAAATTTTTGAGCGTAAGGGTGACACAATCTCTTGTGTGATAGCATGGCATTGGAAAACAGTTTTATATAAACTGAAGTAACCTTTACATTATCCTTTTTTAATTAAAATACCTAAGAACCTGAAGCTTTTATTATGTTCTATAACTAATGTAAGCTGTATTGCAGGATTTACTGAATTCATGTTTGTTACACTGTGTTACATTCAAAATTTAATTGAACACCTTTAGTATTGATGTATATGAATGAAATTAACATTATAATGTATGTTATGATTCTAAGTTTTAAGTCTTTTATTTGAAAAGAAACCTTTAAAAAAATATTAAACTTGAGATGTATTGTCATATGACCAATGAGTTATGAAAACTCGCTATTTTGATTCTCTGTATCTTTAATACAATGGTAGTTGAGTACAGGTATATCTAGACAATAAGGTACTTACATAACCTTTTGACTCATTCATTTCAAAGTTCTCTGAATGAATAAAGTTGAAACAAATAATAATTTTTTTCCAACTCTTTAACAGTTGCCACACTCATCTTCAACAGATTTGTTTGAGCTTTATAGCCTAAATGCAGATGTTACATACACATGTGTATAATCATTAGAAAGAGCTCATTTTACATTATAATCTCATAATGGTTATTTTGAAATTGGTGCACACTTGTCATCACAGAGTAAGCTAACTGACTGTGGTATTGTTGGCTGGTTGTTTGACTATATCAGTTATGGTTGTTCCTTACCTAAATATGTTATAGTTGGAGATACAGTTTAAAGTGTATTTAGGTCTTACTGTTATATTTTAGTTAATTATGCATTAGTTATATTTTAAATATGTATCATACTTTGCATCCATTCTCATGGTTTATAAAATTATTATGCACTGAACAAAAATTTTGCTGAATGGTTGTGCATGTCTCCCAAATAAACTGTAATATGCCTCAAGGACACTGTTGACTTGTGTCGAGATAAATAATAAGCGGTAAAGGACAAGAAAGAAAAATATAACATTAAAAGTTCACTATATGAGAAAATGAAAAGACCCAAAATTACAAATATAAGCAAAAACAACATATTTAAAGATATTTTACAATAAATTAAAAAGTATGTATTTTTTTATTTCCTGATTTTAATCATTTTATTGTACTGTATGTTGATGATAATAGCTATAGAGCTAGTGATATGGTAAAGAAAATTAAAAAATAAAATAGAAACAATTACCTTAAAAAACTTTTGCTATTCATTTAGAAGGTTATGCAAATGAAATATGAAAACTATAAGATAAAGAAAGATATTTCTATACTTAAAATGAAAATCACCTTGCACTTGAACTATTTTAACAATCTGAGTGCAAGTAACTACTATAGATAAATAACATTTTTATTAGAAAGACATCATTAAAATAATGTCATTCTTTGTGTACCAGATACTTATAAACTTTAACAAAATCTTACCAGTTTTTGTGAGGAATGCACAGAGTTACCATATTTTTGTTGCATTAATGTACTTCCTTAGTTGAGTGGATGGTATTTTCATCTGCTCGTGTTTAAAGGGTTAACATATCTCATCTACACAATGGGTTTGACCAAAGATGTGATTAGTACCTTTGATTCATATTCATACAGGAACAACTCATTTAGAAGTGGTGAGATTACAGAGGCCATTGCTAAACCTTTCACTTGTTTATAAAAAATATAATGAAACTTAAAAGTACTTATTATTAACACAATATTGAGTTAAATTTATTATATACTGCACTTGTAATGCTGTAAACAAGTAATTGAAATGTGACTTATCCTTTTCATTAGGCTGCTAAACAAATAATGCCAATATGTTCAGTCCTTGTTACTGTTTTATCTCCTCAATACATCAGAACCCTTATTCATTGATATCATCATTTGAGAGTCCAAGATCACTGTCATCTTTTTGATTTTGCATATTTCTGAGCACTTCATTATATTCACCAAACATGAACAATCTGGTAGTTATTATTATCTTGTACATTTGAAGGCTAGAAGTTAAAGCACAACTTCGAGTTCACATGCTCCACTTAACTGATCAAACACAAGTTCTTGGCCCTCCCCAGACATGATCTTCCATCTGAAGCCAATGGGGCTTGGAACATTAGGCTTTTCACTAAACATTTCCATGTTGCTATAGGGTATTTGGTTCTTTGTGCATGTTTTAGAAGGTTGTCTACACATGGTGGTAATTGATGTCATTCTGTTTCACTTTACTTTGTCACATACAGCTGACATATAAACCTTCCCAGTCTGGAGAACAAAGCTTATGAGAGATTCCAGTAATTACCAACCTCTTAAGATACATCTATGCAGTTGTGTATGTTTGTGATGTCTTATAACTTTTTCATGTTGAGAAAAACACTTACTGAATTATAGCCTGTAAGTGCATGGAGCCCAAGAATTACATGTTGGTCCTAAACACTTTTCCAAATAATAATTTCCCAAGTTAAACTGGGAAAACTTATAACTACTATTAGTATATAAGATTATTCTCTTATACTTTTAATTATTTATTCAATGTAATATTTCTTCTGTTGAATACTGCATAAATGTTCAAGTGAATGAGCATTAAAATGTGGTTGTTTATGGTAAACAAGGAAATATAATTTTTCAGTTAAATTAATTGGTTCATTTTTCTTTTACTATTCAGGAAGAGAAATGAGATGTTAGAGTTGTCATCAACTAGGCACACTAGATTAGAAAAACTGACTGAAATTAAGAATACATTAAAGATGGTCATTGCTCCAAGACAGGTGAGTTTATAACAATTGTTTTGTTTTTAACAGCTTATTTTATAGAGCATAAATAATTGTGAATTTACAAATCGTCTTTGTTTGAACCTTTGATTTTTTTAGAATTATAAGGATCAAAAAATTTTAACTTAAGTTGAATAAACTTAGTAAATAATTTTTAGTAAAAGTCCTTCTACAAATGTATAAAATGAATATGAGCTATTATACATAATCATCCTATTACAGAAGTAAGAGAAATATCTTTTTCTCTTTTTTTTCATTGAAGATATATGCATTTTTAAAGTTTCTTGTACCTGTAGGGAAAGTAGAGGGTTTTCATTGCAATGATAGAAGGCATCATGAAAAGTACAAATGCTCCTTGATAAGGTGGCTTAGCACATATGAATTTCCTCTTAATGTTAACTTTATTTTGTATTTTTGCTAACTTCATAATAAATTTGACTTTTAGGTTTGATGACTTTACTACCAATAAAAGTGCTTCTTTTACTGTCCTGTCCATTATGGTGTGGCCTGTTGAAAAAATGTGTTATTAATATAATGTTAATAAGAGGACAACAAAAAGATTTTCTTGTAAATTCTGCAAGCTACTATTTTTAATCTGCTTTCTACAGCTTTCTTCCTGAAATATAAGATATTGTTTTAACTTTATTTGCTTTCAATTGTTAACCCTTTTGTTGCATAATTTATCATTTTACTTAGAAGAACGTTTTTTGCTATAAAAATATTAAAAATCAAAATGCCTAGGAAATAAAATTCTACCAAACTATGAAGAAGTTTACCACTTCTGTCCTCTAGTGCTCTCAGATGTTGCATAGTGCAAATATAATTTGGCACTATTTTTTCAAGTCTCATTCAGCTTCTGTTGCATCAACCATGCTATACAAACTGTTTAGTAGACCTCTAATGTTTGTCTGAGGGTTTACTTTAACCTTCCTCTTTATTTGATGCATTGTGGTATCCATACTTGTGTGTAAAAGCACATTATGCTAATATAATAGTAAACTAACAAACAACAACTTATAACCATAATGAAGAGCTTGTCTTGGTAGACATTTTGGTGGCATCCTAAGCACATCTCTAAAATACCCCTGATATCTCTGTCATTTGGTTTTTGAGATGTATGGCTGTACAATCAGCTTTCTGATTTCTGTGTTGGATTTGAAATTTTTCCATTTAACCCTATCACCACAGGTATCTTTTACTGTGCATGACACAAGGTTTTCATGTCTTACATTCAAAATTTTATTAAACTATTTCTTTGCTTATGTTATATCAATTAGAATATTATACAATCTTAGCTAATAATCCATATTTTAAGAGTAAATAAGTTTTAAGTTCTTAATTCTACAAGGCAATATTTAAAAAAATCCTAAATTTCCCCTAGTGTGACCCACATGACACATTTTTCTTTTAGCATGTCACCTTCCCTATTTTATCCACCACCCCTCTAAAAAGTACAAAATTAAACGTAAATTACTCTCTATAAAATGATCATTGCTCAGACAAACCATACTTTTTTTTATACCCTTCAATTTTGTTTGGATACAGAGCTATCAAATAGAAAATCAGACCCTACCTGTCACATCCTCTCTTTGAAAATTCATTAATAGTTCTATCTTACGTTTAATTATATATTACCTATAACATTATGTTCTGAACGGTTAAATGTCAATTTCACTCAGAGTACTAATATCGTTCTCGTGAGAAAGTTAATGACTAGCTTGGATGAATTTGTAACGACTCTTGTCACATAATTAGAAAGGCAGAAAAATTTTGAGGAGTAAGGAAATTTGTCTACTTTTTGGATGTTACTAGTCTATATTCTTTGATGCATTAGTATAAAAAATTAGGGTTAACTCTCTTTGACAATCAACAACAAGGGAAAAGAAAATTGGTTAAGTACTTTATTTCTTGTTTTTCATGTTTATTCTTTATTTATAATTATAAAAGTAAGTAAGATGTAAAAATAGGGATTCTTTTAGGTTAGTTAAAACTAGATTAAGTAAAATAAATAATGATATTATAATAAAAATGTTTCACGAGGCACATGCAAGCAGCTCATGGGTAGTGTAATTCATTAGCGTAATGTGAGCTGCACATTTCTCGAGTGATTTACAACTTATAATGGTGTGGATAGTAGTTAGACATGGTTCAAAGGACAATAAAACAAAAAAATTTGATTATAAATAGATGTATAATGTTACAAAATTAAAGCTACTTAGGATAAACAAATGTATTTTCATTTACAATTTGAAGTCATTCTAGAAAGAAGAAAGGGGTAATTTAGATTTTTTTATGGTTACTATGTTTTGAGATGGGGTAGAAAAAAATAACTGATTAACTATAAAGTTTTGCTGGAAAAAAAACGTTTGAAATGCATTTAGGAGGCTTTAGGATTACACAAAGGAAATTTTAGATTTTTGAAATGAGGAAAATTATTGTTAATTTTAACATGAAAATTACTTTGCACAAGGACTATCCAAAACAAATACTCAATATATTCATTGACAAATCTTTACTTTATTTTATTAACAGTATGCCAGATTTTGTGCAGATATACACACTGTATTGAAAGTTAAAAGTATTATATCTATAAAGACTTTAAATGAGTAAAAAGAGGTCACATGGTCAGTCAAATTGAAGCCTGTGTTGAGAGAGTTAATGAATAATGTTTTGTGTGGGCAGTTATTTCCTAGGAGTTCAACAGAGAACTCCCCACAAGGTCTCAGACTTACCATGCATCATTCCAATTTTCTAGCCCTCAGTCTTTCACATTTCCCTTACACTCAGAGGTACCTAATGCTCAATTGGTCTAGGTGTCCACACATGAGAAACTCTTTCTGAGTTGGCTGTTGCAGGCTGACCAAGCTCATGAGTCTTTGCAACATGGATAAAGGTCCTGTATCCAATGGAAGACTTCTAGATTGGACATCTTGCAAACATTGCTCACTGCTAAACTCTCACTCTAGGACATGAGTACTTCTATGTCAAGAAATTACATTCTAATCGTTATTTAAAATCAATAAAATCATGGGTTTAAGCAAAGATTAACACACACACAAGTCATTGATACAGAAACTGCAATAAATCCTGATGTCATGATACTATAAACTTTTTTCATTCCTATCTACTTGTGGTATTTTCAGGTGAAAACTGAATTGCCTGACAAGTATTAGATAATTAAACTCACTAATAACAGGATATTCTCTCAGGAAATGAAGATAGTAGTCTGTATTTGATGGCTGAGTTTTCTTAGTTTATATAAAATAATGAGACTGGACAAGTTTAACAAAATAAACACAATATTTATTATGAAACAAACAATAGGAGAAAACAGTGTACATACTTGAAAACATGAAAAGACAGTATCTTCTAATAGCTTGTGATCAGCTCCACAGCTTTTTTTCTCTGAGAATAAACATCCAATGAACTAAACGATGATATGAAAGTATTTCTTTCCTCAAAGAACTCCAGGTAGAACTGAACTGAGAGATCAAACCTGGATTCAATAAGTAAACTTGGTTTCTTTATACAGTTGACAGCATCATCTCGTGACCTTTGTTCTATCAAGGCATTTTTCAGCTGTCACATACAGACAGTGTCGAGTCAGCCAGGAAAGTATATTAGTCACTAATCTTTCAACCTAGATGATATATATATTACTTCAATTTCCCCTTGAGCAGAATAGTCTATCTACTATAGAGTTCAAATAAACAAAATAACTAAAACAAGACAATCTCAGTGTACCAGGTATTTGTGCTAGAACTGCATACAAACCAAATAAACCAGCTAGTAAACATGATATGCCTGCATATCAAAATGTTCACAATGTTAAACTACAAATGTATTTTAGCAGTAGCAATGCTTCAGTGTTAAACCTGTCAGTGGTGAATTAAATGCATAGAGCAAGTGATACAAAATATAATTTGATGCAAATTGCATCCTTCAAACTAAGCAAAGTTTTACATTGCTACATATGACCTAGTAGTTGTTTTGACATTTTTCTTGCTGTTCAGTTTCAATTCACAACTATTGAAATGTTTCATCTAATCTTGCAGTCTAATTCAGATCTACAGTCTTCAATCATTTCTGCTGCTGTACTAATGTCCATGTCACTAACCTGAAGAAATATAGACCACTCCGGTTACTGAAGAAATCCTGCTGAATGCTACCTGGTGGAATTTTCAATAAATGTGTACAGCTGTTTAATGACTCCAAATATTTTGCAGCATATGTCAACAACAACGATGAGATTTAACCTAAGTACATAATAGTGCACAAAATATGTTCTATCCCAAGTCTTGTGGATTACTGCATGAACACTTTTATATGCACCTGATATAGCTGCACAACCATCATATCATTGGCCCCTTATATTGTAGATGCTGAGTCCATTGTGCTCCATAGTCTCATACAGATAATTAGTCAAATTAGCACTAGTTATATCTTTTGCATGTAAGAATTTGAATAAGCCATGCACAGGGCATCATAAATCCTATTATAGCTGACAGCCAGTCCTAATACTACTTATTTCTGATATAACATCGATGCTTCAAACAGTTTTGGGTAAGGAACGGCTAAAGGGGTATAAGGTATGTGTGCTAAAAATGATGCCACAACTCACATTTGTGGTGACAGATATTGTATTAGCATATGCTCATCATTTAAATAGGTATTATTAAACTCCTATATTATTTGAAATCATCTTATTCATGATTTACTTATGTTACTTGCTGTTTATAAATTTTTCTCCCAGTTCACCACTTTATATTTAGTATGAAATGATATAAATATTTCACACTTAAATAAAATACAACTTTCTGTCATGCTAGAAAGTTTGAAATTTCTATTGAAATTTTTAGAAGTTAATCATGAAATTAGTATGAAATACCCATGTTGCAAATACTTTTATAAAAGTTTTGTAACGTAAGTTAACATCTTTTTTTATGATTTTAATTTTTTTGTTATCATCAGTTGCCATTTTTACATGAAAATGAGTTGGTCATAACATAGTGATTAGCATGCTCTCACTTTGAATCCAAAAACAGACTGTGCTATGGGTTCACTCTTAACTGTGCTAATCAAACACAACTATTTGGTCATACAAGAGTAGCCCAAGTTTCAGCAGTAGGTAATGTTGACTAGCTGCCTTCACTGTTCCATTTGTTCAAAATTAGGGATGGTTATGCATACGTAGCCCTTTTGTGTGTCTTTGTATAAATATTTTGAAATAAACAAACAATGCATAAAAATTTATAGTAATGAGGCTCTTTGAATGAAACCATGGCTCCTGAAATTCATCTGCCAGGTAATATATAAATGTTATAACAATAACAAAAATGTATGTGTTACAAGTTAATTTTAGAAGTTCACTGTGGAAATTTGAATTTGAAAAATAAAATGTAATAATAATCATATCTAGCCTGATTTACTAACAGTTCAACAGTGTCGTAGTTGAAATTTCTATTATTGGTATGTATTAAATAAGCTAGAAACCAATATTATCATACAAAGTATTAACTGTACTTTATATTAATATAAAGGCAGACAATTAATATAACATATAGCTTTTGACCAATTGGAAAGATCAAATGATGATAGATATTCTTGTAACATGAACTTTAACAGTATGATTGCATGCTTTTATGGTTTTCAGCTTATTAAAAGAAATAAGATGTGATCACAACTATTTCAGGATAAAATATAAATAGTAATTTTCTACCTTAGCCTGTATCACTGGTGAAACTTTGCAATCCAGACTTCAAGCCACTTGAGGAAGAGGTGGATGTGGTTGGGCTTGTGTTCGGTGTGGAGTTAAATAATAACAATACAATAGACACCATCCTTCTCACTGATGGCAAGCTTAATATCATCTCTATTAGATTATTTGATGGACTTCCAGTAAGTATACATTTTTCATCATGTCACTTTACGTTTTAATACCACCTGTATTAGATTATTTGATGGACTTCCAGTAAGAATTAGTTTTCCTACTACTGCCTTATGTTTTAACTACCACCTGTATTACAGCATTTGGAGGATTTCCAGTAACTATACATTTTTCTTACTGCTGTCTTGTGTTTTAAGTACTACCTTTATTGCAGTGTTTGGTGGACTTCCGACCTCCAGTAAGTATACATTTTTCATGTTATCGCCAGGTTTTTAATACCACCTGTATTAGAGTGTTTTGTGGACTTCCAGTAAGTATACATTTTTCATGTTATTACTTTAGGTTATTAATACCACCTGTATTAGATTATTTGATGGACTTTAGTAAGTATATATTTTTCATGTTATCACTTTAGATTTTTAATATCACCTGTATTAGAGTGTTTTGTGGACTTCCAGTAAGTATACATTTTTCATGTTATTACTTTAGGTTTTTAATACCACCTGTATTAGATTATTTGATGGACTTTTAGTAAGTATATATTTTTCATGTTATGACTTTAGATTTTTAATATCACCTGTATTAGAGTGTTTTGTGGACTTCCAGTAAGTATACATTTTTCATGTTATTACTTTAGGTTTTTAACTAACTGGAAGTGTTTTATTGTAGGCATTTTCTTTTAATTTAGATGTTTGTGTTGTTTCACCAGAGGAAGGTTTGATATCAAGGATGTTTGTTGATGACTATAATCTTCTTCAAAGTTTAGAAAATGATCTGATGATTTGGGCTATTTGAAAAATGAGTTAGGTTAGAGACGACTGGTTATTGATTTCAGTAGTCACTTTGTCTGTTACACTCAACAATTTAGCCAGTTTATTGGACATTGAGTTTGCATTTAAGCAAAGGAATAGATATGACAAGTACCATATGTATGAGGAAATTAGCAAGTATGTGACATTGTTGTTTTTGTGTCTATTGTGAACTTAGGTCGATCAATGAGTGTTAATGAAGAAAATTGAGTAACTGGTTGTAGGAGAAATAAAACGTTTTTTTTATCAAATAAATGAACCAGACTTTGTATTATATTTTACCAAATGATACAAGATAATCTGCCCAACAACAGAAACTGTTACAGATAAACCATCTTTATTAGAATGTTTAATGGAATGGCAGTAAGTGTGTTTAGAGAACTGGCACTGTGTGTACAATTGATGCCAGTGCACTACACACTTCAATAAAGATTGTATGATAAACAATTGTCAGTATTATATGTTTTTAACAGCACTATCACTTTTTTTGGATTTGAAGCTTGATCTTGGTGTTTTGGAAATTTATTGCAAAATTTTATCAAGTCTTGGGATTTTTTGAGATTTGAGAATTTTCATATTTTTTTCATTATCTTTTTCATAAATCTTGAGTAATGGAAAAAAATCCTAAGTATGAAATATGGCATAATATGACCTTCACTCATTATCTGTTAACAGAAGCATTACATGACTGGTGATAAAGTGTGCCCAAGGGTCAATTTCTGACATTTTATGGATGTTGATCATGCCCTGTCTACATTTATAAGGTAACAGGACATCTACAATAGGTTGTTCAACTGGTGTTGTTATGTCACTATACTTCACAAGACATAAAACCTCTCATCTCTACTGCAAATTTAGTGTCCTATGATTGACTGATGTGCACTGGCAGATTACAGCATTAGCATTTGCTGTCTCAAGATGTTGCAGGCAGTGTTTAAAATCATAACAAATTGTTGTCTTTGTTGAATAAATAGTGTTCATCCTATACACTACACTTTAAAATGAGAAGATTAGTTGGAAGGCACACAAAAGACATTTACTTCTAGGCTAAACTATATTTGTTATTGTGATTTCATTCCTTTTGTTAGAAAATATGTATTCACTGAAGGTGGATGGAGGTTATGTTTTCACCCCTGTATGCATGTGTGTGTGTTTATCAGCAAGATTTCTTGAAAATGGCCAAATTGATTTGGACACAAGTTGGTATACATTTGGACTATGATGACCCAACTTAAAAGTGATTAGTTTCTGGAGGGTCAAGGTCACGAAAATAAAAAAACTCCCTATCTGTTATCATGGGGACCAATTTTTCACACTCTTTTTTTTTTGCGCTATAACTCAGTCAAAAATCATTGGATTTTGATGAAACTTGGTGAACACACAGAATATTATTCCCCATTGTCCTGCCAAAAATGATCCCTGTCTGTTGATAACTACCAACATACAGACATATTTTCATATTTTTTGAGAGCCAAATATTATCAACACTGCATTATGGAGGTATGTGGTGTACTGAGTGCCCGTCTTGTCTTCATGCTGTTTTCAGTTAAAAGGTCCTTACATCTAGTGTTCAATATTCCTATTAAATTACCTGCCTTTAGAAGATGTCAAGTTTATAATAAATTGAACATTGTTATTTCTGTTTTTCACATTGTCAGTCTTTTACCTTTATAACAGTACATTAAAATTACAAATGTTGATAGATAAAATACTTTTTTTTTCATGTGCAGTACTTTGATATTAATTTATGATATTAAGTTTTTATAATGATGTACTGTGTACAAAACATATATTCTTAGAAAAATGCCCAAGCTTTCTATTTTGCTGTGCAAGTAATATACTTAAATGACCATTGACAATAAAATGTTTTATGTCACACCTTCAAGCTGTTCCTCTCTCTAACTTTGGATGAGCAAAAGCAAACATTGAAAATTCCATTCATTGAAATTCATTCATATTGTTGGTATACATATTCCATTCATTGTGTCAAAGATGAGTGACCCCAATGATACTGTTACAGAAGTCAATCCTACATCAAAAATAGTCAAATGGTATAAACAGACCTGGAATTGAAGGATTGGATCACGAGTGACTCAACTGATAAATCTATTTTCATGTGCATGGTGAGTGACTGTAAGGTAAACGATGCCACCAGATCATCTTTAATGAAACATAAAGCCACACATTAGCATTCTAGTGCATTCAGAGCTAAACAAAAGACATTGCACATCAGTACAATTTTCAACTAAATACAGAGGAAATGACAGTGAAAGCTGAAGTTTTGCTATTTGGATTCATGAGTGAACACAGAATGTCATTCCATCGTGTTGAGCATTTGACTGAACTGAAAAGAAATATGTTTTCAGACAGTAAAATCTCCGAAAACATCAAGATGAAGAAAACAAAATCATCATATTTGATGGATGAAGAAATCACTTGGGAAGAGAGTAAGTCATTGTTATCCACTTGCAAGGACAAATAAGTTCTCATTAATCATAGATGAATCCAATGACATTTCCTTTTCTCATGTTTTTGCTGTCATGGTAAGATTCTACATATACCCTATTGATGACTGTTGAAGTGGAAAATTATTCTCCTGAGGGTCTGTACACTGCTGTCAAGAATGTATTTAATGATAAATCAATTCCTCTTGACAATATAATTTGATTCAGAAATGATAACTGCTTGACAATGGTGACGGAAAATACTGGCTTCCAAGCCTACCTGGAAGATTATGTTCCTGGTATTTTAAACCTCAGATAGGTATATATATATATATATATATATATATGTCACTCATTTACCTTTTGTGCAAACCTTGAGAGCAATCATCTCCCTTCATGTCTGAAAGCACTTGTAAAGACATGTGCACAGTATAGTAAACAACAATATAAAATTTGCCTTATTTGCGATGTGGTCCATCATGAAGTACTTAAACCTTCACAAACCTGGGGACAAGTCATTGCTAGAATCCTAGAGCAAAGGAATGCACAGGTGCTTTTTTTTTTCAATCTGAGTTCCAAGCAAACTGTGTTAAAGGAGCTGCCCAACTCTACAAAAAAGATTACCACAGTTGGAGTGGAACAAATGCTTTTATTTTTCAACTTATTTTACCTAAAGTTAACAGATTGAACAATGAATTTCAGTCACAGAATTTCAAGCTGCACACACTGATGAACTCCATCTCTCATGATTACAGAATCGTTTTGAGTATGCTTTTCCATGATGACATGATCAAGACTTGCATCTTATGTGACAATGCTCAGGGAGCAGCCTTTGGGTGGCAAAGAAGTACATGTCAGATGAGACTGCTGAGTTTTTCTCATTGAATTACAGTGCTGTGCAAAAGTGTTAGGACAAAGTCAAAAATTTGATTTCAGGCTACTTTCAAAGAACAATGGAAGGTAAATCACAGGTGAATCATCAAAATTTTATTAATCTTCATATTTTGTACAACAAAAACTTGGTAGAAGTGCTCGAGTTCAGCAAACAGTTAATATTTTGTGTATCCCCTGTTTGCTTTGATAGCTGCAGACAGCCTTTCAGGCAACATATTTAATCAAAGTGTCCTTTGGGATTTTACTCCAAATGTCTCTAATACACTCCCTTAAAGTTTCTTTGAAAGTAACTTTTGATTTGTCAAGTCTTTGATCTATGAAATTCCAGATCTGCTTAATTGGGTTGAGAGCAAGACTCTATGGGGGGACATTGCATCATTTGAAGAATTACTCTAGCAGCTTATTTCTTAGCTAAGTATTTTCTGCATAGGTTGGATGAGTGTTTGGGGTCATTATCTTCTTGGTAGTAGAACCCTTTACCAATAATATGCAAACCACTGGGTATACCATGACGGATCAATATCTGATGGTACTTAAGCTGATCCATTATTCCATCTGTTTTGCAAATATCTCCTGATGTCTCAGCAGAAAAAAAACCCAAACCATCGCACTGCCTCCCCCATGCTTCATGGTAGGTGCTATGCATTGAGGTAAGTATCTTTCACTTTTCTTTCACCAGATGTACAACCTATGCTTTGAAGCAGTTCCAGTTTTTGTACTTTTTAGAAGATTGAAGTAAAGGTTTTTTTAACTGCCACACGACCAAATATTCCATTCTCATTGATTCTTTTTGATACTGTAAATCTGGGCACTTTTCTGTCATTTGATACATGGTCGTTTATTTCATGCTTGAGATCAGTGGCA